AAAATTAAGGCTAAATGTCATTCATTCATGTACAAAGAAATTTTTACATAGATGGGTATATATATATATATATATATATATATATATATATATATATATATATATATATATATATATATATATATATAATGTATGATGGCTTAATAAGAAAAATGATAATGGTACAATGTCTCCATAAAAGAAGTTTGAAAAAGGAACATGGTATGTTTCTTGCATTCCACCCTTTATAAAATGGTTCATAAGAAATATTATGACACATTGTCTAATAGCATCAGTAATACATGAGAATAAAGAGAAAGTAAACTAAAAACTGTACATTGATCCTTAGCTTTTCGCATTCAAGTTCATTTTGAATCTGGTAGTTTCATTTTCAAGTTCTTGTACTTTTTGCAAATACAAAATCAAAAATTGTATAATCATAAACCACTTAATATATAGAAAAACTAAATATAAATGGGAATCCAAAATTAAATATATCTTAATAGTAGTTAGAGAAGATTTACATACTCTTCTACCCACAAAAGAAACATGTTTCTTGTGAGAAAGTTGGATTCCAACTAGCAAATCTTATTGTATGAGCTAACCAATTTCTTCATAGTGTCTTCGTGTTGCATGATGAAAATTTACAGTGCAGAAAAACTAACTGATTGCTTAATGTAGGTGAAAATTTACCAATTTAGATCTCAAAATCTCCACCAATGAGTACCTTTCTTTCGATGATCACTTAAATCACGAATATACCAAATCCCATGATTACCGTCCCATTGAATCTATAAATCTCAAATCAAGAACCTGTTGTTAGGCCATAATAGTCATGTTGAAAGAGTTACATAATTAACATAATTTCATATGTCAAATGTCAAATACATGGAGGAAAGACAAAAGTTTTGGATTAGGTGTCTAAGACATTAATAAATTATGATAAACTTAAATTATTAGTAAAGTTGTAATGTCCCAAAATTCCATACCAAAATTTTTTCGTTAAATCATTACTAAAACCATTTTTATAAGAACATATCATAAAGCATAACATAATTCAGAGTATTAATTCCAAAACATAATTTCATTATCAGAGTAAAACATCCCAGATTGACTAATCAATGGTGTGTGCCATGCGATCACCCCGAGCTCTTCCCTCAGCTACCGGAAGTACCTGAGACCAAAAATGAAAACTGTAAGCACAGAGCTTAGTGAGTTCCCCAACCTACCACATACCCTGCACAAACACATACATCATATACTGGGCCACGCCCGCTATTTCGGGCCTCGCCCCTACCTCGGGCCCAACTCACTACAATGACCCCGCCGCTCCAGGCCGCGCTTGACTTCGAGCCCCACTCGGATACATATCTGTTTCTTATAGGCCCCGCCTGCTAACCACATATAGTACAAATGGCATATAACACATAACTGAACATACTCTACTACATTCTTGTCCTTAGGCCTCGCCTGTCTTGGGCCTCACCCCTGTCCTGTCACTAGTGAGATATGGAACACCGTCCATACTCTGCCATTGGTGATACATGGGACCTCGCCCACACTCACCTTCCTACCAGGCACATACATGCATCACGCATACAACAAGTATACTCTATCATGCAAACCATTCCTTGGGCACCCGTCCGACATCAGACCTTGGTCTGGAATATCATACTAGCAAACAATGCCTAGGGCTAACCCCCGTGTCTTCCTACTCATAACTACATGGGATGATATTGTAGTCGTAGACCCATTCATACAAAAAGAAACTCACCTGCACTGCTGAACTTTTGCTGATAACCCTCTGACTACTGGCCAATAATTCTCTAAACCGCTGCTCCACTAGCTCCCCGAGCTATCAATATCAATATCATACAACACTTAGTTCCAAATTGAACTCTTAGAAACCGTCTAAGTCCACTCTTGCCAAAGTCAAAGTCCTGGTCCAAGTCAACCTTCTTGACTGACTCTACTCGCCGAGTCACCCCAAGACTCGTTGAGTTTAACGATCTCTGAATCCCATCCTACCCAACTCACTGAGTCACTACTTAACTCACCAATCTAATTCTTAACCCGGAAAGGGTTGAGGTTCTGCGACCAGACTCGCCGAGTTGTTCTTCCAACTCGCCGAGTCCATGCTCATGTTTATAAAGCTCGCCGAGTACACCTATGTGACTCGCCGAGTCTCTTCATATCTCAAACCATACAGTGGCTTTTCGAGACATGCAGGGGCTCCAAACCATAGCTCCACTCATCTACAGTCTATCCCCCTCGTAAAGTTGCAAACTTTACATGAAACCAAGAAGCTAAAAGACCAAAGGTTCCCTTCCTCCTTCTTCATTCAAATCACCCAAAATGGCAAGAAAGCTTGAATGTGCTAAAATAGAGGCTTAGGGTTTCGTTTTCTGGATAAGAGAGGCTATAGAGAACCCTAAGGGAGAGAATGAGATGTTTATATAGTGCACAAAGACCCGAAATTAGGGTTTCCCAATCCAGACCAGACTCGTCGAGTCCACTATCCTACTCGTCGAGTCGGTCACTTACTCTTCGACCCGGATCCCGCTCGGACTCGTCGAGTTCCACCCTGGACTTGACGAGTTGACCCTTTTAACTTAGGGTTTTCCTTTTCTGTCCTGGTATTTCTGATTATGGGTGTTACAAAAGTCCTTTTAGGTTGCCCTCAAACCTAGTGAGAGACTGAAATGTTATTTGGAGAGAGAGATTGATTTGTTAACTTATTATATGATTAATAAGTTAACTAGAAATCAAAATAAATAATTTATTAATATGTTTTGAGAAAAATATATTAATCAGAAATTATGTTGTTTAATTATAAATTAATCAGAACTTAACTGGAATTAATTCGAATAATTAAAAGTGAAAGGACTAAAAGCGTCAATGTCCAAAAGTTGAACATTGACTGATTCTAGAACCTACCTATGAGAGGGGACGGTTCTAAGGGGTTAAGGGAGCGTTTCTTAGGATCTAAGGAATGTTAGGGCTGCTTTGGGGGAAAGAAAATGGTTTGGGTTATCCACAAGGAAACTTGCTTTTTATGCACCTCCTTAAGCCTTATAAATACCCCAAGGCTAAGCGTTTCATTTTTCACCTTTTCCAAGAGACTTTTAGAGACGAAAATTATATCCTTCCCCTCTTTTTGCAACATACCTTCAACTTCTAGTATTTGGGTGTGAGCCATCAGTGGCACAAGATTTTTTGTGTTGACTTTCTGAAGTTCTAGATAGAAGGAATTCAAGTTTATTTACAATAATAAACTAAAAGGTATGTTTTCTAATAACCCTTCCCTAATTTCAAAAATAGCAATCTACTTCAGGGTTCTTGAATTCAAATTGTTGTTTGCCTATCATAGTGAGATCATAGATCCCTTAGGGTGTATGCGAATTTAGGGTTTTATGTTTTCCACCAAAAATATGATTTTTTTATCTATAAAATCCATCAAAAAGAACATATACAATACTAACCTTCACTCACTTCAACATTTTAATGCCTTCTTTGAATATAAATATAGATTAACTATACTAAAAACGAATTAGATAAAAGGGTACAAATAATATATATGCATTAGGTTAGATCTAAAGGAGAAATACTTGGTGTAATTTAGTACCAAAATCCACCTCCTTTTGTATTTGATGTATATTACCTTTGATATACAAAGTTCAATAATAGCATATCATTGAAAAACATGTAATAATCTCGGGTTGGCTTGGTTTGGGGTACTAAAACCAAAGCCAAAACTCTTTTTTTTTTTTTTTTTTTTTTTTTTTTTTTTTTTTTTTTTTTAAATTAAACCCAAACCCCACGGTTTGGGTTTGGTTTCTGTTTCTCGGTTTCGGTTTTGTCGGGTTTTGAGTTTTCGGATTTAGTTTTGCTCATCCCTAGTTTTGATGGTAATAACTTTGTTTGACAAGTACTTTTTGCCCACATCATCCTCCCATTATTTGGTTACATTTTAAAGGCGTACATCTGTTTCCATGTCTTAAACCAGTATGTAAGGTGAACCCAATTTCAGGTACCCTTTACCATTGATTTGTTCTCGGTTCACGATATTGATGATATGGTTTACTTGCATGGCATATCAGTGACCTCCCACCTATTACATGAGCATGTATGTTGTACTATGTCAACCACACATTGGTCTACACCTTCACCTGTAACCCGATACTTTCCATTGCCACAAAACATGACCATGTACTCCGCAGTTTCAGTTTTGATATTTTCTATAGTCTTAGTAGCTATATGAGTTAGTAGGCCACAACATTTGTCAATTGTATTTTGCATAATAACAAGCTTCTTCATTATGCACTTTTTAATAAATTCCAAGCATTTTATAATTGGTTTGTCATGACCCTTGACAAGTTTGCTATTCAATGTCTCACAAAGGTTGCTTAATAATGCATAATAATGTGCTTTTCCTATAGACGCACATGTGCCACAAAATTTTTCAGTAATCTTTTCAGATGTATACAATCAACAAAATTGAAGGATATTGTTATGTATGACTTACATGTGAAGTGGGAGCTGGGGCAATGCTAGTGTGGAATGGCTTTAAGCTATTACTATGCATCCTTGTTCAATTGATTTAGTTCCTTCATTGCAAGGTGTGACTTGTTGTACAATGGATGTTGTTCCACATTTCCATAAACAATATTTAAACTCCTTACCCTTCCACTTCAGCTTCATATTGTCATGTATATGAAAAAGGCAAACTCTATTTTCCGTACATGGGAAGAGGGCCCATCTTTCTCACTTGTTTGACTTGGTACACCTTTCCCACAAGTTTCAAGTATCTTGTATTGTGCCTTTACACATTTCCCTAACTCTGTTTTTATCATTTTTGACAATGTCCATTTCTCTTCTTATCTCTATTGCATGTAAGTAAATTATGTATTTCACTTCCTAAGAACTTATGAATGTTTGAATTATATAGAAATGGTCACTTACTTGAGATGTATTATTTTTCTATGCCCTTTCAAAAACCCTAATTTTGTTTCTTCTTTTACTTATTTGACCTTCATCGGATGATGATCCAGATTATAAAACATTTGTGTTGATAACCCCACTTCCTCATCAGACATTAGTACATTGTCTTTTGTAACAAGAGTATCACCAATCCACCCCAAATTATCATAAAAAATATGGTCGAAATTCAACATGTCCACTTCAGGGTCATCCAATAAGTTATCCTCATCGACAAAAAAATCACTATCGTCACTGTCACTTAAATCTTCACTACCCTCACTATCACTAGATCCACCAAGGGGTTCACTAAAGGGCTCCATGTTTGGTTCATTCACAGGTGCAACATAAACTTTAATAAGGGATTCCATTCTAGGGGTAAAACATATGCCGCATCAATGTGACTAGGGGATTCCATGCTAGGTTCCATTCTACATATGCAACATAAACTCAAACCAAAGAATTAAGAAGGAGAAGATTTTGGGTGTTCTTGAGGAGATTTTGAAGACATTTGTTCATCTTGGATGATTGCTACATGTATAGTGCAATTAATCATTTCTTTTCCTTCTTATAGATATGTTTGACTACGTTCTTATCTAATCAACATGGAAGTATTCCATTGATAATTAGTTTATTTTGAAGGTTTTATAACGTATGTTTTTAAATCTATGAATGCAATTTCTACTTAAAATGAAGTGATTTTATTATTATTATTATTATTATTATTATTATTATTATTATTATTATTATTTTATTTATTTTATTTTATTTATTTATTTATTTATTTATTTTTTACTTTTACAAGTTTATTTGGCTAAAAATGGAGTTAGGTACGATAAAAGTTGATGGATATAATCTAGAAAGAGCGCTTAATAGATTCGGTCGACCAATTAAGTCGACTAAATATGTCAAAAATAATGCAATTAAATAATTAAAATTTGGAGAGGGTAGGGAGCCACAGCGTCCACGTACAAACCAACGTTTAGGTGACACGTGTTAACATCCTTGTTGGCATGACACCCGTAAACTTCTTGAGATTTTTTTTTCAGAGAACTTCCTGAGCTTTAATATAAATAACTGCATCTGTGTTGTCAGTTGTCACTAAGCCAAACCACTCTACCAGTTCCCTACTGTTAACGCCCTTTTTTTCTTCTTTCTAACTTCCTATCTTATGCACGAATAAATTAAGGCTACTAACGGTATATTCTTCAGTCATTTTCAATGAAGATCTTTCATGGGCTTTCAACCATTTTCCTGACCCTGCTCGTTTCCACCATGAATGTGGAAGGAAGATATCTTTTCCACAAGAACCAAAACAAAGGGTCATTGTCTTCAACAGACGTGGGTAATGATATGAACTCTGTTTCATCATGTGTTTTTGACGTTAAGAATTATGGTGCCATTGGAAATGGTTCCGCAGATGACACTCCTGCTTTCGTTGCTGCGTGGAAGGCAGCTTGTGCAGTAGAATCTGCTACTCTTTTAGTACCCTTCGGTTTCACTTTCATGATAACTTCCACACTATTCTCTGGACCTTGCAAACCAGGCCTTGTGTTTCAAGTAAGAAAATTCTATCTATATTTCAAAATGCATCATCGATCGATGACTGAAAAACATTCGCATATTTGAATTGAATGTGTTTTTGTATGTAAAAAGGTAGATGGGATCCTAACACCAGCTGTTGGACCAGATAACTGGCCAAAGAAAGATAGCAGAAGACAATGGCTTGTGTTCTTTGAACTTGATAACATGAGTTTGACTGGAACTGGTACCATTGATGGCAATGGCCAACAATGGTGGGACCTCCCCTGCAAACCTCATCAGGTAATTAGTTTTATATTAGGAAATTCAACATATTCCTGGTTAATTACTTAATTATACATGTGCATGTATATATCAATATCGATGTTTTAGCAATAAATGCGATTTCAGGGTTCTGGTGGAAAAACATTCCCTGGACCATGTGATAGCCCTACAGTAAGTACAAACATAAATTCAGGCTTCATTAATTAACATGTTGGGAATATGTATGGATCAACATCTAACTAAATTTTTTGTCTCTATGTTAGTTAATTCGGTTCTTTATGAGCTCAAATTTGCGTTTGAGTGGCCTACGAATACAAAATAGTCCAATGTTCCATGTGAAGTTTGATGGATGTGAAGGGGTAATGATAGATAAAGTGTTCATTTCTTCTCCTAAGCTTAGCCCAAACACCGATGGGATACATATCCAGAACACAAAGTCTGTTGGCATTTACAACTCAACGATAGGCAATGGTATATATGAATTATAATATATGGTGATTATAGCTTTGATCAGTTATATATGTTTAATTTTTATAATAAGTGTTTTGTTTTTTTGACATACAATAATTGTTTCAGGGGATGATTGCATTTCAATAGGACCGGGTTGTGTGAATGTTGATATAGACGGTGTTATCTGTGGACCTAGCCATGGGATCAGGTGGGTTATAGATGGCAACTCTTGATGTAGAAGTTTCAACTGTATTATTTTGGAGAAGAAGTTTAATTAGGGTTAAATGCAAGAAATATGAATGCAATTTCAAAATTGATATAGTTAGAGTCACTAAATCCTAACCATAATCCTTTTTAAATTAGTACAGTTATATACTTAACTAACTTTAATATCTAGTATATTTAAGTAATAAATATTAAAATTAGTTACTATCTTAATGAAATATTATTTGATTTCATATGATTTGTATGTATTGAATGTGCCATTTTTTTTTTGTTTTTTTCATTTTGGATGTGCCGTTTTTTTTTGTTTTTTTCGTTAATACATTATTTTGTATGTTCACATGTTATTTCTTTTACGTCTTTTAATTTCGTATTTATTTTGATTCTTTTATTTTCATCATATTAAATATTATAGTTTTTCTTATATGAAATAAATATATAAATATTTTTTATTTAGACACAACGTAAAATTTTAACATCTCTCTTAATTTTATTATTGTCGGCGGTATTTTATCAAAACTCTCAAAAGTTAATATAGTTACTGGTTTTCTATAATTTATAATTATGATTTTATTGCTATTATATATTTTAAAATAATAAATTATTAACTATTATCTTTATTATTGGTTAATTAGGATATGAATCTAGTCCCTATAAGAGGCAGGCTTCAATATATATCTTATTATTTATAATATCATACTTCTATTTATTCTATACTTTGAGGAACTACCTAAGTACCTAACTATGAAGGTATCTGATACAAAATAATATTTAATGCTATAATTTGGTAGATGTTGCAAAGACGATGTTGTAATAAATCAACTTAAATGAAAGTATGGTGCTATAATAAATATTTAAATGAAAGTAGGTGGATATATCTTGCATTTGACCCACAATTCAATATTCCACGTTTGTAAAAGAAAATATCAAAAATATGATAAGTACCTCTAGGACTCAACAAATATCTAGACTAATCTCATTAATTAAGTCCTTTATCTAAAACATGATATATCTACTACGTACTCACATCAACCTCTAAAGAATTTGTTGCGTAATTTTGCAGTATTGGAAGCCTTGGTGTTCGCAACTCACAGGCATGTGTTTCCAACATAACAGTACGCAACGTGGTAATACGCGATTCCGACAATGGAGTTAGAATCAAGACATGGCAAGGTGGGGCCGGATCTGTAACAGGGATAGCTTTCGAGAACATTCAAATGGAGAATGTGAGGAATTGCGCCATTATAGACCAGTACTACTGTACAAATAAGAAGTGTGTTAACCAAACGTCAGCTGTGTATGTTAGAGACATATCTTTCAGAAACATAAAAGGGACATACGATGTGAGAAGCCCTCCGATTCATTTTGCTTGCAGCGACAGTGTTGCTTGTGCCAATATAACAATGTCGGATGTGGAGTTGTTTCCGTTTGCAGGGGAATTGATTGATGATCCGTTTTGTTGGAATGCTTATGGGGTACAGGAGACTCTCACAATCCCTCCGATTAATTGTTTACTGGATGGTATGCCGCATTTGGCGTCAGAGGAAAACGTATATAGGTGCATTTGATGGAGATTTGGATTGGGTGTAAGTTTTTCTGGGTATTGTAGTTGAGAGTTATGCATAAAGTTAATACTGTATAGAACCCAATAGCCATATATATATATATATATATATATATATATATATATATATATATATATATATATATATATATATATATATATATATATATATATATATATATATATATATATATATATATATATATATATATATGATTGAAGTCAGAAGAAGTTAGTTAATAATTTCTCGATTAAGGTATCCTTCTATACAAATTTAATCCCAGAAAGTTACGAGAAAATATCCTCTTTGGCGGTGTTTACACCGTTTGGTTGATTCCCATGTTTGAAACAGGTGTGACTTATTTCAGTGTTTATTGTTAAACGTATTACAAAAATATAAATACATTACAATGCTAAAGAGCTAGAATAAAGTGGGCTAACTATACAATGGGCCACACTTAAATGCTAAAATACATACATGTACATTACATGATACGTCTAACATGTATTGCATGTGTATTTATTTTAGCATTTAAGTTGGCCCATTGTATAGTTAGCCCATTTTATGCTATAGGCCTTTATTTATAATTGTGTAATATGTCTAATATTTTTAACTTTGAGTTTTTTCTCAACAGATTGCATCTTGATCGTGTGGGGTTGATTGATAAATGATTTGTTGTAAATAAATTTTATTGAGAGTGGAGATATAAGGTGAAATTGTTTAGAAAATTATTTAGCATGAATTATAGCCAACCAAAAGCTTGATTCTTATAAAAATGGAGGGTCTATTTACGTTTTTTTACTGCATAAAACAACACTCAGTTGCTTTGTGGTATATCATTGGGGTTTAATGTGAACATGAATCCATTATGAACTTGTGTGGTATTTCAAATTATTGAGGAGATATTAATTTAATGTGAACATGGGCAAAAGACTAAATTATGATGTTTGTACTATTTTTTTCATGAATAAGTTTAGGACATTGAGAAATTTTATTCAATATGAAAGTAGTCTTTGATGTGAAGTTACAAGTTTGGGTATATTTAGGATTGAAGAGGTGTGTATGATCAAGATTTTAAAACACATGACAGTTTCCATCATCCTACTTCAACCCGAGCCTAAATTAGTGATTACCAAAGGCTTTTTAAAAATTTAAAATATCATGTTTATCCATCAACACAAAGTATAACAAAGAAATATAGTACGTAATCAAACAATGTATCTAGTAAATTAAAAAAAACAACAGAAGTAAACCCTAAATTGAATCCTTCTTCAAGCGACGATCAAATGTTGGAGAGAGGTGTTAGAAAACAGGGATACTTTGTGGACGTCGAAAGAAATTATGCGGATCAACTTTGGCCTTGATTCGAATCAACTTCTTGAAATTGTCCCTTTTCCAGTACCTCTCACCCCAAAGACTAGCTTCTTCATAATTAGAACTTCCAACACCAAAATCTAGATCATTGTAGTTGGAATATGCCTCTCTAGGGTTCTTCGACACATAAGGCGTGAATACCTCCTCCATGCTTTGCAGCCACGCTAACCTCCTAAGCGATGTAGGGGTTGTGTCGGAAGTTTGTCCGTTAAAATTGACAGTCTTGAGAATCTGTAACAACACCCCGGCTCTATGAGGATAAGGAATTGCTGTCTCTGAGTAATCAGACATCCTTCCGCCAAAAGGATTGATCATCAGAAGTGCTGCTCCGTCGTTTTGCATGAGCTGTCTCCATATCTTTCTTAGACCGCTTATGGGAATTGGTGTCCGAAGGAAGTCTGATTTACTTTTATTGTTCAATTTGAATATAGCAGACCGGTTCGTGTGGATCTCGGTTGGGATGGAACTTGGGAAGCCCCAAAACACAGAGGTCGACTGGATGCTTCTAATTTCTTCACATATCTCTCGTGTAACACCGAGCTCCGGAAATTTTTCGTCCAGCAACTGCAGCAATGTGTCCCTTGGACCCTGGTAAATTCCTTCAAACATAATTCGTATGGTTTTCTTGGTGGTGTTGCCAATATATTCAGCAAACACCTGAGTTCTTATATGTAGATTTCTATCAATAGTTGGCGCAACGTATTGATACTTGTGGAAAATTTCGGTTACCCCTTCTTCCGAAGTCTTATTCAATATAAAGACAGTTACTTTTTCGGGAACCGGAACCAACCTCAACTTCCATGCAAGGACGATTCCAAAACTGGAAGCACCGCCTCCTCGAATTGCCCAAAACAAATCTTTACCCATCGACTTCCTGTCCATGATATTTCCATTCACATCCATAAAGCGAACATCCAAAACATTATCAGCAGCAGTACCATATTTCCTCACTAGGTTTCCGTAGCCTCCACCTCCCACGTACCCACCAACACCCACCGTAGGGCAAACACCTCCTGGGAAATACAAGGTGTCGGTTTTCTGAGAAATACTGTAATAGAGTTCACCAAGTGTAGCACCTGGCTGGACCCACGTGGTCCTGTTGACCACATCAATGTCTATCGACCTCATGTTGGTGAAATCAAGCATAACAAATGGAACATCAGCAGTGTACGAGAGGCCTTCGTAGTCATGGCCCCCACTCCTGATCCTCATCTCGTACCCATGTTTCTTTGCACAGAATAGAGCCGTTTGGATCAGTGTTTCATCCACAGGTGTCACGATGACAGATGGTTTAGGAGTGGAGGGTTTAAGGAACCTAGTGTTTTGCACTGCAACTTGCCAAATAGGAGTGAAAGAAGCATTGGCAGGGGTGAAAAGGAGTTGAGAGATGGAGGTGACGTTGTTGGAATTGGATTGTATGCATATTATGAAGTTTTCGGTACTAGGTGTAGCATCCACAAGGGAAGACAAGTTTGCCCATGAATTAGAGAAGGAAAGAGTTAGAAACAAGAGGAAGAGAGAAGAACTCATTTGGAAATTCTTCATGTTTAATTTGGTGGGTTTGAGTATCTATGGCAGTGTCTTATTTATATAGAGTAGAGAGCATAGAGTTGACTGCAAAAAGGGTTATAAAAATGGTGAATTCAAACGAGGTTAAAAACCCTAGTAATTAAAAGCTTACTGGTCAGAATTTATCAAAAGTTTTTAAATGAAAAGTGATTTTGATCATAAGTGGCGTCTATAAACTAAAAGCTAAATAGATTTTCTCTATGTGTCTCTCTGTTTATATAAATCTGAAGTAACGTAAGCATCCACAAAATAACATTCTTTAGTCAGAGCATGATTAATTGCTGATCTAAGCAAATTGAGTTGAATAAGCAAAATGCGACTTGGGATTGTGATTTCAATTGGAGTATTCAATTGCGCTCTCTCTCTCTATATGTGATGCTTTCTGTGGACTACCAGCATTCAAAATTAATTACAAGTTTGAAAAATTCAATATTAATACCCTTTGAACTTTGAACTGGACGGTATAGCCTTAAAGAAGAACGTGCCTTTTTTTACAAATTACAATGCATCAAACCCAGGTCCTACACATGTGATAGATCCTTTCGTATACAAACATTGACTTAGGTTTCTAATAAACGACTCCTAGCTTTTAATATTTAATTTTTAATACTATTTCATATATACTAGTAAAAAAACCGGCACGGTTCGAATAAATTTAACGAACATATACTAATTTCAAAATTTTATGTTGTCTTCATCTTATTAAACAAAAGAACAAATTAATACGCGTGACTAAAAGAAGTATGATATTCAAATCTATAAATATTTTACATTAAAAGATGGAAAGCGGGAAATTAAAATTTATAATAAATTACACAAATGGTCCTTATGGTTTAAATTAATTTACATGTTTGGTCACATAGATATTCAAACATTGACTTTCGTCGCTATCAAACATTGACTTTCGTTCCTATCACATCCAAAATTATTATTATTTTTATTTTTTTATTTTTTTATTGTTTATTTCTTATTTTATATTAAAAAATAGTTTAAAACATGACGTGGGTCCCATCCCTAACCCGCCCATCATCTACACATCTTCAGATAAGCTACAAACGAACAACACTTCACGCCCCATTTTCTTGCTCACTGTTCTCATCAGCCACCTTCACCGCCGAGCCCTTCTTCCTCCCTACTCATCTCTCTCTACTGGAAACCTCAACCACCAAGCCCTTCTTCCTCATCTTTCTCTTGATTTTTCCGGTACCAAAATCTCCGCCACATTCCGCCCAATCTTCTCCAGATACTCCGATTTCTTCTATTCTGTAATACCCAATTCCACCGATAACAATCACCACTTTCTCCACCATCTTCTCCTCTATCTCCGACATCCAATACAACACAAACCTCTACCTCTGTAACTAACTATATGCACCAATAATCTATTAACCCCCAATTTCTTCATTCCAAAACACACACACACACACACACTTCACCTGGAGCACCTCCGTGTGTCAGTAGAGATATCTGCAATATGAATTGCCACTTGAGTTACCTCCGTAGCCATGGATGAGAACGAGGTTTGGTTTGTTCCGGTAGCGGTGGTTCGTCGCTCATATGTGGTTACCCTTCCTCTTTTCTTCTTCTCCGATAAGCTTTCTCCATCCAACATTCGATCATCTCGCCTTTCTTCTCCGGTGATATGGGTCCCAAATCATCTATAGGTAAAATGCACAGTGGAAAACAAAACACTGGTATATAAATCGTCCCTCTCTGACCCTTGTGACGTAAACGGGTAAAACCTAATATCAAGTTGCAGATTAAACCCTGCATCTTCATTGTTTCTGGTTTCAAGTTGTAGATTTGTTATGTTGCAGGATTTCTGGTTTCAAACAATTGATTTTCTCTTTTTTTGACGATGATGAATACGGATTTTAGGTAAGATGAAGGAGGTTGGGCAGGGTCGACATATGAGGTGGTGGTGGACTGGTGGTTTGCTGGATTTGGGGGGTGGGATATGATGATGGGACCAATCTATGTATTTCATTGTTTAATTATTTATTTGATTAATTACAAACATAAAAATAGCTGGTAAGGGAAATTTAGTTTTTTAAGAGGGTGTTTGGCATAGTTTTTTAAATAATTTTTGATTTTATCTTTTTAGAAAAAGTCTCAAAAGATGAAAGGAAAATAACTTTTGGAAAAGTCAGGATTACCTGATTTTTCACAACTTTTCACCAACTAAAAATATTAAATTACCAATATACCCCTCATCTACCCTAAACATATATTTTTTTGTCATTTTACATGTAAAACTTAAACCAACACTTTAATTTTTGATTTTTTCCGTTCAAAAGTCAATCCAAATACATTTTAAAAAATAACTTTTGTAAAAAGTTCTTTTACAAAAAGTCTTTTTACAAAAAAGACTTTTGCCCCCATAAAAACTAAGCAAAACACCCCCTAAATGTAGTAGCACTAAACTCCCAACCAAATCAAATTAAAGGGATGGTGGGAGTTTTAAAAAAAAAAATTATGGATCAAATATGCAAATTACCTCAAAGTACAATCACTATTTTCTGTAATATACTCTAAAACAAGTGTTGTTTAACTCATCAGAAATTTATTAAGACTATTGAGTCAGTTTGACATGAATTATAAAGTCAACATTATTACAAAAGGTCATATTCTAAATTTCTATCATTATCAAACATCAAATACACTAAATTGATCATTTCAATAATAATAATATGAAGCATAAACTAACATGAAACTTGGTTCAATAAGGCATAAGGAATTGAAATTTCAAATTTTGAGCCATGACTACATTTCCATTTAAACTAGCCTCTTGACTCTTGTCTAACATATATGTTACAAGACATCTATCGCCATGTGACCCTACTGAAGCTCTTAGATTCATGATATATATATATATATATATATATATATATATATATATATATATATATATATATATATATATATATATATATATATATATATATATATATATATATATATATATATATATATATGTTAGAACTAAAAAATATATACAATTTCGCCATATATAAGCAAATTTACCCCACCACGTCGATCCTCACAACGATACGATCTATACTATCGGATCTAAAATTAACCACTTTACCTAATCCGTACTCCCGGATTGGGTATGTCTGATCCATACTCCCGGTTCAATAACTGTTCCTATTCCATACTCTCGGACTAGGGATAATTAACTATTTCTTAATCCATACTCCCGAATTATAACAAATAATTATGTTCTATCCATACTCTCGGACTAAGGACAACTGATTAAGTCTAATCCATACTCTTGGATCAATGACAAATTTTAAAGTTGTTCCCTCCATGTATGTATATCTCACTTGTACTTACAAGGAGATACTACCCAACATCCCTCTTAATTTATTTAAGTCTACTTTGGATCCTAAATCATCATATATTTATCATATATGCTCTTAACATGTATTTCAGGCAATATCAAATATTTCTAACATAAACATACAATTCAATACTTTAATCAATACTTGTGTTAAAAATCATGTTAATGAAAAGGACTATGCACTCACTTTAGTAGCGTGATTGGATAGAATCTAACTAGAAACGGTCAGCGGTTCGTGATTGTCGGGCTCGGAACGCCTTCAGCAAACGAGAGAGAGAGAGAAGAATTTGGTGTAAGGAAGCTTAGGGTCGAACTTGCTATTTATAGGGTGCCAAAAACATGTCCGCGTCGAGGAGTCTTATGTCCACATCGTGGAACATGGCTGAATCATTTCGTTGGCTTGCCATCTGCGTTCTAGCTTCGAAAGGTGTTCAGATGACATTTCCACGTCGTGGCCTTTATTTCCACGTCGTGGAATCTTAACACATCACTCCTGTAGGATTAACATGTGTTTTTCTAGCTTCGATTAGTGTCCTTGACCAATTCCACATCGTGGACCTTATTTCCACGTCGTAGAATTGAGGCTGATTAGGGTTTCTGCCATGTGTCATGCCCTTAGACTGCTACATCTTTGGAAGGTCATAATGTTTGCATACGAACTCCGTTTTTTACGTTATTTATATCCACGCGTAGGTGTTGACATACTCTACAACTTTTATTTAGGCCCATAAGGCTAAAAAGTAGTTTATCATAAACTCACTTTTTACGATTCCCGGTGTCGTGCTGGTTTTGTCGCGAAACTTCGACAGGTCATAACTTCTTCATTATAACTCGGATTTCAGCATTCTTTATATGTATGGAAACCTTGTGACATATACTAAAACTTAGTTAAAATTATTTATTCTAAATAATACTCTATTAAAAAGTCATTTTTTATGTTTATCATCTCTAAATTGACTCCGAATCTGCGGATGCTACAATTATCTCCCCCTTAGGATGATTACACCATGGAATCAGCAAAACGGGGTTTGTAAAATGACTCCATATATTATCTCTTCATCCTAGGTAATAACCGTAACTTCTACGTTCCTTCGAACGAGTATCTAACTTTTGGACTTCTTGACTGCAGGCGATGCTCAATTTAGCACCCGCTCTCTATCACGTGTTGGACTTTCAATCGTAACCTTTGAGTTACATAATCTTTATTGAAGACTCGTTCTTCTTCTTAAAAGACTTAAGATAAGTTCTTTCCTTCATTTATCGTAACAGACTGATGTGTCATGTTATAATGACCTCTCATCGTATGATGCAACGCTTAGATTCAGGTCTTTTAGAGTCAAATTACAGAAAGAAAGATACTTTCCTTCATGATATAATGTGATATAATCACATTCTAGTGTGTAGTACTTCTAACTACAAGCTCTTACAACGATCACGATACTTCTATTGATCGCTTCGATTTTCTTTTACTTCAATCCCCTGGTTTAAGTCAGATGTTACATCGATCTTGGTTCTCTGAACAATGTAACATACTCATCTTTGTCGGAATCGATTTGATATGACTACTAGGGTCGGAATATCAATCATCTTCTTAGTCATTACCGAAACGATGGTAACG